TCTACACTGTTCCAACAGGAACACGCACTACATCTATATTTTCTAAATAAAGACAAACTATACTTTCCTGCAGCCTTTGCTAACAAATAGATGCACATATTTAAACATCAGTGCTGTGTAAATGAAAGGTATAGTGGAAAAAATTCTTTAAGGTTTGAGTTCTGGGGCAAAGATATTTTAAGTGTCATTACCTACCTATCAATAATTATAGAAAATTATATTTAAATCTACTAATATCCACATTTAATTAATTTTTTATTTATTATTAAAGTAGTTACTTATGTATGATTTCACTGAAGACTCCTAGATGACTTGCAGAGGCATATAATTTTATCTTTACCTCAAATAATTCAAAATTTTGTTCTGAAAATAGCATGAATTCTGTATCTATCATCTTTAATTTTGTATATTGATGTGCATAATTAACCGCAGGGTTTCTGTTGTCAAGTAGTCGTTAATATATGAGAAATTTAATAGTTTAATAAGTTTGAACATTCCCCTTCAGAGTATTACTGCTGCCACCGTCTGTATTAGAGGGAAAAATGGTAAGGGTGGCCACATGGGTGGCCATGGCCCCCCACCTAGCTCCGCCCCTGGTTTGTCTTTATTTGGAAAATATGGATGTTGTGGTTGTTCATTGTCCTGTTGGATCAGTATAGAATAACCTTAAGGTTCTGGTGCCTGTCCACTTTGGGCCACCCCTCAGCGTACATTGTTTATTGCCTGGCCACCCTTATGAAAATGTTCTAGCTACGCCTCTGGGCCACGCGACAAAATCTGGCTTCGATAGAGCGTCTGAGAGATGAGCATCTGGAGCGCGTCCCCGCCTCCATCATCATTCCAGCCGCGGGTGCGTGAGACGCAGCAGCGGTCTCGCGCCGCGCAGCCTGTCCGGAGCTCGCTTCCTCCTCCCCTTAAAGCAGAAAGATAATCTCCACAGACGCACCAACAATGGGAGAGCTGGACGCGCGCGATGGCCCCCGCTCCGTTTGCATTATAATTTAAAAACCGACGCACTTGGCTTCACCGCCGGCGAAAATGGCGACGGGGGCAGGCTGGCAGCCTCCGTACAACACCTCATCCAGCGCCAGCAAATACGCCTCCTCTCCAACAGCATCCAGCATGTTTTACGACGGGAGTTTAACGCTGGAATACACCCCGGACCTGCATCTGAAGATGAGCAAGAAGATAGCCCAGCTGACAAAGGTGTGTGTTTGGAGAGGTGAATGGATGACGTAGATGTAGTGGTTCAGTCATTTAAAGCAGGTGGGGATGTAGATGGAGTAGTACTGTGGAGATTCTGGTGTGGGATGCAGTGCTGTTTGTAAACATGGTGCTTTGCTCCATGCTTCAGCTTTAATAACACATTTCCATGTTTTTGCATTGCTTTAATGTCAACAATAAATAAAATATATATGTTTATAATTGTGCAGGAGCTGCAACACATTAACCTACATTTGTAAACATTCAACATATGCTTAAAAAAATCCTACTACACTGCTTAACCTTAATTGTTTTACACCAAAGGTTGAAGGATTGATAGAAATTGTATAATCTTGCAGGGATTTGGCTGAGCTGCTTCTTTGTTGTCTACACCTGACACAGTTAGATGATGCAGGCATACTACTGGGTACTAGTAGGAGATTTAAGGTGGCAGCTCCATTTAGGCATCAAGGCTTGTGGTGTGACCGTGTTGCACCAGAGGAGACAAAAACAGCAGTAAAGGACAGGATTTTTACATAATCATCATGGTGATATTGTTAGACCAAAACAAACCTGAGAACGAGGATCTTGGATAGTACATTGGTGGCATTAAGATACAAAATGTATAATTTATGATGATGTCATAGCTTCCGTTCTTTGACTATTCTGCTTTAAATTGTATTACTGTATTGTATTTTCTGTTTGTTTTTTTTCTGTTCCTTTAGAGCTGAACTCTAATCATAATGAATTGAATTCAGCTGCTTTGATGAGATCCAGTTCATGATTTTTATTCTTCATAAGTATTCTTGATTTCATTAATAACTGCGAGCCATCCAGGTCTTGGAGTAGGCATGTATCGTGGTTTTCTTAGACTTAGATTTATTTTGTCATTTTGTTTACACAAGTGGAAAACAAAAAGAAATTTAATCTAGAACAACTCTCTAGACAATTTAATTTATTTTTTTAAGTGCAGCCTTGAAAAATAGTAAAAAAAAAAATAGTAATATAAACATATGGCTGTACATTTACAGTTCAAAAATTTCATTTTTTTTAAATAAAATATAATAAATATAATAAAATACACTAAAATAACCAGTTTCACAAAAACATTCTTAAAGGAATAGTACACCCAAAACATGATTAGCCTTCATTTTCTACTCACCCCCATGCTGAACAACACTCTGGAGTACTTTTTTGATATCTCAAATGCATCTGGAAATCTGGGAGGCTTCTTGCTGTCTGCTGACATTCAAATAATGGAGGTCTATGGTGACCGAGACAGAAAGGTCCATAAAAGTCCACAAAAAACGTGTCAATATTCCTCCATACTGGTCGTCCAATGTATTCCAAGTGTCCTGAGTGGGTAGCGTCCATAATTTACTCGAAACAAAGTCATTTAGAAGGTTTTTAGAGCATAAACAGTAGTGTATAGGATTTCCTGAAAGCGCGCGCCGGCGCGTTCACGATGCTACGGAAGCCGGCAGACCAAACCAGATGAAAGTGCGCATTCAGCGTCTGCTCTTCCAATAATGCAAGCGTAGAAGAAGAAATGTGCCGTTTACCTGTGCAAAGAAAGAAACAACGAAAGAAAAATGTCTGAGGACTTCAGTGTTGAGGAAGAGCATGAGTTCTTTGCCGAGCTGAATGCGCTGGTTTGGTCTGCCGGCTTCCGTAGCGTCGGGATCGCGCATGTGCGCGCTTTCAGGAAGTCCTATACACTACTGTTTATGCTCTAAAAACATTCTAAATGACTTCGTTTCGAGTAAATTCTGGATGCTACCCACTCAGGACACTTGGAATACATTGGAAGACCAGTATGGAGGAATATTGACACGTTTTTTGTGGACTTTTATGGACCTTTCTGTCTCGGGCGCTGGGGCACCTCCATTATTTGAATGTCAGCAGACAGCAAGAAGCCTCCCAGATCTCCAGATGCATTTGAGATATCAAAAAAGTACTCCAGAGTGTTGTTCAGCATGGGGGTGAGTAGAAAATGAAGGCTAATCATGTTTTGGGTGTAGTATTCCTTTAAATGCTGTGTTGGTTTTTAAGTGACTCGTGCCTACTGTAAGGTTCTACTCTGTTCACGTCAGTCCAGACTAGGGCTGCAACTAACAATAATTTTGCAAATCGATTCATCTGTCGATTATTTTTTTCGATTAGTCGATAAATAATCAGCTAGCAAAAGGTTCCTGTAAGAAGACTTTTAAACCAGGAGACACAAACTTTTCCACTTGAGGAGTTTGATATGGAGCACATTGACGAACAAAAAAGATTTTTATCTTAAATGCAAGATGTTTACATATCTTTTTTTTTTTTTTTTTTTTTTTTACAATTTCAGCATAATTGCTGCTCAAGGTTGGTTGCGCTGTCAGCTAAAGGTTAACGATTAATCGATTACTAATTTACTTGACGAATATTTCAATAATCGATTAATCATGATTAATCTGATTAATTGTTTCAGCCCTAGTTTATACCTACTAGCTCAAACAAAAAAACAATAATCAACAACAATAGGGATGAGAATAGGTTTCACATATTTAAACAAAAGTGAATAGAAGTTTTTATCATTTATATCAGAGATTATTTTCCAATATTTGCTTTTTTGGCTGATATTGGATCCATTTCTAATACCAGTATAGGATTGGGACATCCCTTTTTTTTTTTTTTTAAGATGCTATATTTTTTACATTCACTTAGTTTTTTTTATAAACTTTTTTTTAAATTAAACAATGCATTTATTTTTTTTGAAACATGTTTTGTAAGCTCACACCTTTTTTTTTCTTTTTGAGGTGCAGCATGTTAATTTACTTGAGGAATCTCTTCTTAGACTAATTAAAAAACTAATTGCTAGATCAAACCATTACTAAGATAATGACAGCTGGGGTCCTAGTTAAAATGAGATAACACTTTGCTCGAGTCCCAGGGGGTTTTGGGGCACATATCACAGTGTTATCAAGCATCTTTCATATTGCTTTTCTATTAGAAAACTGCAAAAATATAATTTCCAGACTGAAAAAAATCATAGAAGATGCCAGTTTTTCTGGTTGGGATTTTCTGTAGAGGTGTTCAGGGTGGAAAATGGTTTCTGAGTGTCCTCATAGCTTTTTGAGCAGTGCACCAATTAAAGAAGGAACAGATCTGGAGCTTCTTGAATTGTGGATGACATAAATGAAATGTTTGGTTGAGCCTGTCTGAGTGTCTGGTGCAGGAAAACACTGCAGATGTGGAGACACTTCCCTCTTAGAAACTAGCTTCAATTAATCCTTTAATTACTATATATCATGTAAATCCCCTGAAAACAATGAGAGAAGAGTAACAGAGTTATATTAGGGCCACATGCTGCAGTTATTCTCTTCAACTTTTGTGGCTTTTTCTTTAGTTCAATCAATAATCATTGACTCTGGCCTCAGAAGCCTCCCTCCTGGGTGTGCTATTGTCATTGCTTGCATCGCGCCTCCTTCATCCTGTGCAGAGAATCTCAGTATTTAACATCTTGATCTTGATAAAAGGAGTCCTTCTCTAAATCCAATTTATTGGACTCATTTGATGACTTTTGGCTCTTTGTAGTTTTTTTTCTCGTCCTTTAATGTAAGGCATAGTTAATCTGCAGACTCATTATCGGTCATAATTCCCCCCAGAGATGAATAATTTTTTTCCTGTTGAGAGATTTTAATCTCAAAACCCTCTAAAGATAAATCAGAAATCTCCTGGGTTATTTTAAGTGTTCGTTTTTGGATTTTAGCAAAGTAGAAATCCAGTCTAGCTCACATGATATTGGCGACTTCAGCATCACCAACATACCATCACAGCAGTTAATTCCTGCACCTGCATTACAGCCAATACCAGGATCCGTCAACCTTTGGCTCTTTATAAAGGCAAATTAAAAAGTGAGTTTTATTTTTTTTTTTTTATTGGATATTTATGCATTAACCATGTATTCCAGTGTACTCTACTGTTGATAATAACACACTAGTTTTATTTTAAGAAACATAACATTACCTAGGCCTAGAGGACTTGGGTTGAAGACCCCAGATCTAGGCTGTGGTGAACTTTCTCTATGAGAAATGATCCTATGTAGAAAAAACATTATAGTTTGAAAAACAAAGTTTCTCATAGCAAAAATAACTCCTGCTCCAGCATTAATTAGCACTGCTTAACAAATGTCTATGAAATACAGGACTTCATGTTGGGGAAACATGCAATGATTATAAAGACTTCACTTTTTTCCTTGGGGCGGGGTATAACTGCATTAAAATTATATAATTACAAAAACCTAATTACCACAACATGTCTCTCGCACTGCTCTAATGTCTATAATTAGTTTTCATATTGTATGATTCTAAAAGGTAACTAATCAGTGACAGGCGGTCAGGGCCTTTAAGGCTCAGTTAGATGTTTACAGCCAAGTTCAGCTAACAACAATCTGAATTTTAGGCAAGGCAAGGCAAGGCAAATTTATTTGTATAGCACAATTCAGTACAAAGACAATGCAAAGTGCTTTACATGATTAAAATACAGGAAGATAAAACAGAATCAAAGCAAGTAGGAACAAAAATAAAAATAAAATAGATTAAAAATATAAATAAAATAAAATAAAAAATGCAGAAACAAAAAAAGAATATTAAAAACAGTTGGAAGTTAGGTTTGCTTTTGTTAAAAGTTTTTTATGGCCTCAATGACTGAGACTAAATGAAGATACTAAGACTTCCTGGACAAAGACATAAGGATGGGTTTTGTTTAAAAATAATCAACATCTCTGGGGAGTGTATATTTTATTTTCATTCTTTATGCATTATTTTAGCTGGTCATTAGATGCTTATTGAATCTGAACAGCTCCTGGTTCTGTAAATGTGGTGGAACTGTGGTTATAAGGTAGAGGATTGTGGTTTTCTTAACATGTCTCCTTTCTTAATTGACCTCTCTATTCACACTCACACTAATCTTCCTCTCAGTTATACCTCCACTTGTTACATTTCATATTTGAATACTCTTGGTGGTTGTAAAAGTAGTGATATTAACCCCTTATGCAACAAACACTTTGTATTATCAAAATAGCATGTGCATTCCCTCCCTCAGTGCCAGTTATTACACATTCTGTGAACAGGAACTTTTGGCAAGCTCTTGTTTCTGTTACAACTGGTCTCCAACAGTTTATGTTATCATATATCCATATCCATATACTATACTTGTACAGATATATATTTAAATTCAGACATCAAGGGATTAAGAAGAATAGGGTGCACACTGAAGGCCCAAGTACCAGATACACCACTCACCACTGTACTAACTGATGCTTTAAATGTATTAGGTAAAAGGGAAATCCAAATACTAAGATAGCAGATTAAGTTGAATCTTTCCTCTTTAACTTCCCTCCTACAAAGAGTCCAAACCGCTCTAGCGGATCCAACTATTGCTAATACCAAGGTGTAAAGCGTAAACTTTATGGTAACAAACACGTTGTCAGCAGTTGCTTTTGTGGTCTGGCTGTTGACTTTCAGTTCTAGCAGTGGCATGAACTATTTTGTGTTTTCCTGTTATAGTTTTAGTTCTGTTTAAGTTTTCTTGCAAATTGGGCAATGATGAGCTAAATGAAAGGTGTTAGTCCTTTTTTATTCCAAAAAACTAGTTCAATCGGGCTGGAAGTTATGCGTCCAACCAGTCGTTTGTTTAAACCAACCTATCTAATTTAGTAGTGCTCTTATCCAATCTATATTGGTAAAAGGGCAAACCAATACAACTTGGTCAGAATGTCCCAAAATAATGTTTAATTAGCATAGCAACTTTCAAAATCTAAGTCAGGTCTTGAACCAACAACCATTGGAATGATGGCAAAGTCTTACAGCTGACACCACTTGTGATAGTAACTGACAATAGTACTATTTCGTTATACTACAGCTGAAACCAGTGGCCTGTTCAGATTCTGATCATTATATTGTTTAATCTAACCAAAATTGTTTTAACCGCCTTGTTTGGTTGCATTGGATACATATATTTGGATATATTCTATTGTTAGAATATGTCCGAACTCTATCCAGCTGACCGCGACTCTCCTACAAACTGCCACATCTTGACCAAATACTAAGGTTGTTAAATACCTGTTGAAGTTTGCGGTGAGCAGAACCACTTCCCGAAGCATACATGTGGTATGGCGGGGAAGCGAGTCTTTGGACATCAACGATTTTGGCCCCTCCCCTAAATGAAGTAAGCCTCGACGTGCGTTTCACGGAAACGCAGCTTCCACTTCTTGACACACGCCTCGAAGCCTCAGCTCATCTCATAACATCACTAGTTTTAAGTTTGTTATGCATTTGTCCTGATTTATAGCTACGCACCAAGTTGTAGCTATACTTCTATTTTTTGTTTGTTTATGTTTACATTTTTGAGACTGTTTTTATCAAGTTTAAAGCTTCATACGCGTTTAGCCAAAATCCGATTTTTCCAAATGAGGGACTGTTTGACAACATTGATCATTTGTTGAGCAGCATCTATCAGGAATATATTCTAACAGGATTTAATTGCTCTTCAGTTGGAATATTGTTGAAGAATATTTATGCAAAGCCAGCTTTACCCCAAACAGTACTGCAAGGTCCTTTCCACCCTCTGAGATGTTAAAACAAAGTAGAAAGAGTGGGTAGAGAGCAGGAGGGGAAGATGGAGAACATAAAGAGAGAGAGATAAAAGGATGAAAGCACATGGAGATTGAGGAGACCGAGATGAAAGCAGCAGGGATACCAGCATCATTAGAATAATCATGTATAATTGAAGGAACAGTTCCATGGCTGACTCAATGCTGGCAATCCAAGCTCACAGTCAGATAGAGCAGGAAATCACCTTCCTCCATTCTTATATTGACAGCCAAACCACGAGGCACCACAAAAAGATATCCAAGCAGTGATTGCCTTCAGTAAATTTTCATGTGTATATCTGACTGACCTGTATGTCGCATCCCTGCTAAAGGTCACTGGGAGTATTAATCGTTAAAGATGACATGTTAGGAAAATGTGGTTTATTGCTAAATGTCCAATATTAAACAGCACCATGCAGCCTGAATTATTGGCTTAAATTAGTTGCAAAACCATGATTGTAGTCTGTATGAACAAACCACCACAGTCATTTTGATGGTCTGGCTGTTAACTCCATGCTTATTTATTTATTTTTTTTAACCAATTTTAAAATTTTCATTTAATCACACCTGCCTTCAAACACATCAGTTTTACAGAGGCTGAGGAATGTGATTCCTCAATAGCTACACTCATTATTAACCTGACCATGCCGATCGTGTTCTTCCAGTTCTCAATAAAGTACCAAATCTAATGCAATACTGTTGCTCAGCGAAGTTATAATAGTTTAGAATTTTTCATTCTACGGTAGTTTAATTTTATTTTGTTGTAACCTTTATTTTTGACCAAATTTGTTAGTTTTAATTAGTGTTACCAGTTTGCAGACAGAAGTTTGCCAGTTTTTATTATAAGATTTTAATAATACTTAGTTCTAGTTTCCTTTAATTAGTTCTAGTACTAGTTTTAGTTTAGTCATGCTTTGGTTAAATTTCAAAAACAGGATTAAAAAAATCACATTAAAGTATTCATGAAATTGTGCATATAAGTAATAGAACCCATATTAGATACCATATAAAAAAACAGGTTTGAGTCCGGTGAAAAAAAATAAAAGTTACATAAGTTAGCAAGTCTTATAAAAATTGATGAACATGAAAAACAAAGGGCATAAATCTTTCATTCATTATGTTTTGGTAATTTTACAACTATTTATGAGATTTTTGTTTTGTTTTAGTGAAAAGACTTCATCCATACGAATTGACGTATTGTGATGAATGGTTGTACTGAAACTGAAATTTGAATTGCAATGTAAATTGCAGTTTACAGTAAAGTAGTTTGATTTGATGGTTACATAAATCAACATTGTTTTATTAGAGAAATAGATGTCTTGTAGTGCTGTCGACATGTCCTGGGCTTTATTTTGAAATTTTGCTGCACATTTGTTAAAATTTCTGCTTTTGTGTCTAAAACTATCTGTTTGATGCGGGCGGCACTATACCTTTTAGTTTTGTGTCAGGTAGAAACATGACCTGAAGGGTTTTGGGGAAAATAAAAGGTGTATGTCTTGTCTTTTCTATTCCAAGCTAATGATTTGGCTTTTTTTTTCAATTAGACATTAACTTTATGATTTGTTTTTTTTTTTTTTTTTTTTTTTTATTAAGCATGTTTGGTTCAGGTATGAGATCCGGCTGCTCTGTCCCAAAAATATAATGGCTACTCTGCTCGCCATGTTTGTGTTGCTGTAAGCGCCAGTGTTGCTGCTGCCAATTACAGCTGAAACTGCAACTCTGCCGCGTTTACTCAATTTTTTTTTCTTTCTTTTTTTTTAATGCAGAAATTTTAGAAATGTGTTGGCGGAAATTAGGGTCTGGAGCAACGTGACTTTTACTTTACTTTTAACAACCTGCTGTGCAGCTTCTTAACCACATCAGTGACCTCTGACATTATGATGGATTCGCCTGCTCCCCCGAACATGGTGCTCTGATTAAGGAGATCTTAGAAGTGTTCATTCCACAATTCTCGATTGCACATTCACAAAAAAGATGAACTGCTTAATGTTTTTTTTTGTAGAATCATCCCTAAAGAATGACATGCCTTTATCATCTACAGCAATATAAGGTGTTATTTTAATTCATTGGAGAAAATGAGTTTGCAACTTTCCTCCTGTTGTGTGCAGTTGCACAGTGTATGATTATGATCACTGGTTGAAGTACGGATGCATTACATGGCCTCAGAAAGCTTTTACAAAACTGCTGCTCCAGTATCGATCCAAAGTGGTGTTAAATGTCGGAAAGCCTCTCATCATTATTCTTCATGCAGGATATCGTAGAATAGCCATGTCTAATGCAGGCTTTATGTATAAATGAAACATTTAACTTCACCTGTTACTGGAACAAATTTTGGACTGCTCCTGATGGCAGCAGGCCTCTATGTCAGTTGACCATGACCACACATTAGCTTCTCCCCAGGGGGCTACAATCTGAGCTTAAAGCTATTTAAAGCTTCTGCATATCATTTACCTCCAGCACTCATACAACCTGCTTATATTCCTGAGTCGGAGCACGAGCATGACTGACAAGATGTTATTCACTTAAGCCTGTGCGTGGAGAGTGCAGTAGGAAGAAGAGGGATATTCTCCATCCTGTTCTGGAGCTTGTACTTGGAAGAATTTATTCTCGGCACAATGTTTTGTTAAAGTTGTGATAACGTGTCAGAGTTATTTCAATCTGCCTTTTTTTTTTGAAAAACCCACATTTATTCCAAAAGGCGAAGAATAACTCATGAGAAAGGTTGAGTTTTATCTTACAGTGTGGACGAGTGCAAAGCCCCGTCTGCCCACAGGTTCAAACATGTTGGCCTCCTTCACTGATGTTATTGGTATTGATTTTTACACAGTTGATCTTTTTTTCTTCTCCTTTTCCTCCTCCTCTGCAGCTATTGATCTCATATTGAAACTGTTAATAAAGGCTTTCTTTCCCATCTCCATGCTGTCGTCTCCTTCTGCCTCCAGGTAATTTATGCTCTCAACACCAAGAACGATGAACATGAAGAGGAAATCGAGTCGCTGAAAGAGGCCCACGAGGATGAGGTACTTTCTAGACTCTTCTCCATCTGTTATTGTCCAGAGCATCAGAATCTGACTTTCTATGTTTAATTGCTTAAGGAACAGGAGGTCATTTTTAACTATACTGGACAAGAATGATTTATGGAAGGGGCGAGTGGTTTTATCTGCAGTCATTCATTTTTATTTGATTTTTTAAAGTTCATCGGCTCACTGTCCTTTATCAAAGAACTGGGTGTTTTTACATTTGTGAAGCAGTTTTTACATAGATTAAATTGTCGGTAACCTCACAATAAGGGTTAGGGGAGCATCAGCTGGTGCATTTAAACTGGCTTTTTCTCATCTAAATTTTGTAGTATTGCATCAGATAAGCTTAATGGAAACTGGTACCTTTGCAACAAGTTTTTATGCTCATTTGACATGGTTTTCGGTTTCTGCGAAAAAGAGTTATTTGCAAAACAGGAGATAGAAAGACTTTTCGAATCAGCTCCGACATAGCAAACTTTTACCTAATATGATGCGCAACATGGCCATTACTAGCTGACAAATAGCAACATATTCGTTAAAACTTTCCTCCATTACTGATCTGTGGTCAGTTCTTGATAGCACTCTCTACTTCCTGGTTATGACCACCATGCATGACGATGCCATGTGGATGACGATGTATGACAACTTTACACTTTGTGTCACTTAGCAGGCTTCAAACCAAATGAAAGCTCAGCAAAATTATTTAGAAACTTTTAAACTTTTGCTTAAATTAATGGAAACATGGCTAGTTATGTATTGAATAATACAAGCTTGAAAACCTGTTTAATGTGGATTATGCTATATATAATATGCTATTTAATAAAAACTACAACTTTAGTTGGATGATCTAATCAGATGACCCAGATGTTTGTACAAAAAAACAAGCTAAAAGTCTTAGCTTCTTAGAAGCATTACCTACCCATCATCATGAGGAAAAGATAGATTTTACTCCTCCTATTTTACTATGTGCTACTTAAATATATAAACTTCCTTTCCTTGAGATTTTATCTTGGGATTCAAAGGCCCTGGACTATTGAAAACAGGTGCTTTATTGATAATTCATGCAAAACTAATCTACCGGCCTGAATATAGCTATAAATGTGGCTTCAGCAAAATGGGAAACACAAAATGTTGGTGATGATTTTTGCCTAAAAGGAGGCATGTTGCTGTCTGGATGGATCATTCCTGCACACTAAAGCTCTTAGTGGCATATTCCAGAATACACTATGGTCTGCTCTGCATTGGCACCACAGGTATTTATTGTTATTCAAACTGCACTGGGAAAGACATGATTTGTTGGAGAAATTAACATGAAAGTTTTTGCCTTGTATCGTCAGTATTCTGTTATTAAATAATTTTTTTAAACTTCTGCTAGCAAACAGTTTTTCCCTTTTCTTTTACATAACAAAGTAATGTTGTCTTTAATATAATCATTTAAAAAGGCAATAGAAATTCTTAATGCAGTTACAAAACAGCTCCTTTTACCTTCAGGGATATCCTGAGAGATGATGTGATGCCGTTTCTATGTGACATCGCTTTTTAGCAATAGAACAAAAAAACAGGTGACTGGTAACAAAATTGGCAATCATCCAGATGCCAGAAGCTACTCTGCCTGAGTTCATGCCTCCAAGTCATCTTATAACCAATATGTTCTGATAACAGGGTAGACCTTTTCTCTTCTTTTTTGCCTACATTAAGTCCCACCAGGAATCATACCTTCCATCTGTTCTCAGTGCTGTTTCAAATTGACTTTGCTTTTGGGATGGAAAAACTAAATCATCTCTGCCATTCTGATCTCTCAACGACATGATGCAGTAAAATAGGAACTTTTTTTTAAATTCTTTTTTTATTGTTATTTTCATTGTTAAACAATTCACCATTCATCTCCAGCGACAACAGCATTGTCTAGCTAGACATCCGCAATTCCAGATAGTGATGGTTGGTTCTCCCTCTATAACACACAAAAAAAAAAGAAATTAATAACACTTCTGTTATACAATGGGAAAAATAAGTAAATAATTAACTGATGCATAAGGGTTGAAAAGGAAAGGCATAGAAAAAAAGAGGAAGAAGGGGGAAATGGATACAAGAGCTATACAGAGGATGGATGGATTGAGGTGACACATCTGATCTTTCTTTCCCATCTTTTCATAAACAAATCCCTATTTAGTCTTAAAACAAAAGTAATTCTTTCCATCTTAAAGATGTTGTAAATAATGACAAACCATTTCTCCACGTCTCCGTGTCTTTCTATTTTTAGTCACTTCCTTGTTACAGCTTTTCTAGAAGCCACATTTGGTATCTACAATAAGTATTTGTCATTAGATTATACATTTTGTGATGGTAAAACACCAAAATATGATGACAAAAACTCTAAATTAATACCTGTCTGAAATGCATTTTAGATAATCTTGTTGATCTCCTGCAAGAAAGGTAACAATATTGGACAAGACCAGAATATGTGATACTGATTCGCTTCCAGGCCCCCACATTGTTTTCAACATATTGATGAATTGGTATAGTGTCTTTTTTGAACCGGAGTGAGAAAGAATCTATTAAGGGTTTCCCAACAAAACTCTCACACAGGAACTGTTTTACAATTTGATAAAGCAGTTTTGCCACTGATATCCATTATGTATTAAACTCCCCCATTAATTACACATTTATTTTATTCCTGCAAGAAATTAAGAGCCTATTATTTGGGATCATAGTAGATAAGGGTAAAAAAACACCCTGTTACACCCTGGACAGATCGCCAGTCCGTCGCAGGTCAACACAAAATTTAGAGAAGCTAATTAACCTAACAGTCATATTTTTGGACTGTGGGAGGAAGCCAGAGTACCTGGAGAGAACCCACACATGCTCAGGGAGAACAAGACCTTCTTGATGCAAGGCAGTAGTGCTACCCACTGAGCCACTGAGCTGCTCTATAAACTATTTTCTGCATAATAAAGTCATGATGCTGATGTTAAAGAAATAAGAAACAACAAAGACTTTTACATCTTGAGATGTTTGCTTGAGTAAATGGAATTTAGAAAACAAAATTCACTTTTTTTTTGAAAATGAAATAATGAAATGAATGACAAGCAAATCTGTTTGAGATTTTTCCTCTTTAGATGAAAGAGAAGAAATTTAAGATATCTTTTCTAAGTTGGATGATTATATTATTTTTTTAAATGTTAGTAGGGTTCACTGTTCCAAAACTAATGATCTAGAGCCTTCTGTGTTTCTAAGCTGATTTTGTTTTTTTAGCATCACGGTGAGTTCAGCTAAAGAATTGCCTCTAACGTTGCCTCTAGCTCTTTTTCAAATGTCGCATACTTCAGCATGCAATGTCGCAGCAGTAACATCTTCCTCTGATGGACTGCTCACTGCTTTATCATTATGGCAGTGGAAAGGGTTCAGGATCAGAAATGTGTTATACTTAGGAGATTTTCTGTTGTAATTTAACTTGAACACTTCAATCCTAACCGACAGAGAGAAAAGGCTTTGAGACTTGTTAACATGTTTATTTTTATTAGGAATAAAGTCAGCAAAAGCTTCAAAAACGCTATGAAATATTGTGTTTACTTCATTAGTTATATTAATGTGTAATGCATTTTAAATGAGGGACATTTCTTCCTTGTTAAACATTTTATAGAGTTCACATTAATCTAAATTATTTTATTAGGTTCTGTTACTCACATAATATGTAATCATTATTGCCCAGAGTTATACAACAATTACACTAATAGTTTATTTTGCAGCTATTTATAAAAGATAATCGGTTTTAAATTAAAAATGAATCTTTTTGCTCTTGCTCAGGTCCAACACATAGTGACAGAAACCAGAGACAAGATCATGCAGTACAAGAGCAAAATGGCGGACGAGGCGGACCTGAGGCGGCGGCTGGCCAGTCTGGAGGAATCTGTCGAGCTCCACGACCACATGAAGAGACAGGTCAGCGAGTGCCGCCGGGAAGCTGGGCTTTGCATACATAAAGCTTCACACAGGCTTTGGTTATATTGGCTGATCTCTCTCACAAGCAGGCCTTAGCAGAGTTTGAGATGTACAGACAGAGGATGGAGGATTCGCAGCTCTGCACTGAGGCCCAGCATACCCAGAGAGTGGTTTCTATGAGCAGAGAGGTGAGACCTTCTTTAAAAAAAAAATAATAAAATCAATAAAATAATAAAAACACGAACTCGAACTTTACTTACTAAGTTGCGTGGTGTAAAAAGAGATTTGTGTCATACTGCATGCTTAGATAAAGCAGTTTAATGAACATACCACTGCATTCCAGCAGCGTTGTTAAAATCTGCCACTTATTCAGTGAGATTAACACATTTTAAATGTGCAATAAATGCACAAATTGTACACAGACTCAGCCCCCGTGTACCTGGAGCTATTCGTCAACAGCCCTGACACGGCATCCCTTTTAGTGGAAATGCTAAACATGTGTTAGGGGATAAAGGATCAATATAAACCTAAACGTCACTGATTAATTTGATTTTAAAAGAGAAACTCCTTAGATTAATTTCACATGGTTTCAATAATTTTAAGCATTTATTTCTGTTTGGTTGGTGATGTTCTTATAGCTGTTAAATCCCCCCCAAAAAAACAAAAAGCAGTTTCTTAGGGAATTCTATGAACTCTATGAAATCGTGGATTTTTTATAGACAGAAGTTATATTATCCCTGTTTTATAGCCTCTAAAATCCTAAGTAAGTCTTCTTAAAATCCTTTTCAATTGGAGAAAGCCACGGTGGGTCTTCATTATCAAAGCTGGCTGTTCATAGTGGCCTTGAATGTTGGGGAAAATTGGGTTGAAGGAAAACAGTTTGAAGATGCTGATTCTATTTTCAAGCATTACCTGACACTTATCCATACTGCCAAAGGTACCACCATTCTTTTTAAGGAGCATGGTTTCACCTAGCTGGACTTAATCTGCAAAAACACCCTCCAAAAATAAGCCTGAATGCAGGGCTGTACATGCATAAATGCAAGACATTTTCATTGGTTTTACTTTTTTCAAGGGGGTCTGAATAAAAACCTGGCAGAATTGAACAAAAAAAAGTATTTACAAAAATTGAAACAGATAAATGTACTGAAAGTAATATTTTTCTCAGTGTAACATAATGCCACTGCAGTTAAATTAAGTATTTATTAGTCCCAGGACTTGAATTGCTAACTAAATTTAACCAAAATAATTCAGCTCATTGTAAGAAAGTAAAAAAATCCACTCTTGCATTACTTTCAATAGTCCAGCTGAACAGTTATGTAGCGCTTAATGGCGTCTTAATTACTATTTAAGAAGCAAAAGTCAGTAGAATAACATAAGTGCCCCAGAAAACAGGCATGGCATATCATCAGGCAGCTTTGATCTCCCACCCTGCTGCTTTTCTTTTTCGTAACCTCTAAAGCTTAATGCCGCTTTGAGCAAATATGCATCTTTTTTTTAAGCGTTTTTTTACACAACACTTTAGGCAGGAAGTGGGAATTTTGCTGAATTAATTTAGTCCAACATAATAAGGAGATGTTAGAAGTTAGCTGTAACTCTCATGACTGCTATGAGGGGATCAGATAAAAAAGCAATAAATATCTCATCATATCATATGTCATATCACTCCACTGCAAGGCACAATCCCATGTTGTTTGGTTTGATGCTAATAAGCATAAATGGTCTGTTTAAGAGGCTTATCTCATCGACGGTCTTCGTCTTCTGTTTCATCAGGACTTTATTAACCAGAACCAGTCTACTCGGGTCACAAAACATTACATCACATGTTATATTTTTACATGTTTTTTTCATTCAAATACTAGAGATGTTCCAGGCTTTTTAGTATTCAGATAAATTTGCTAAACTTTTCTATTTGTCGTCTCGTTCTGAACCACAACTGAAGGTCTTTTTTGGGAACAATGTAGCAGGTAACTGTGACGTGGAGGAAAAATGATTTTTTTTATGTTATACTTTTTTGGTTGTTGAATTATTTAATGGGGGTGATGCATTGGGCTAAGCTCCTTGTCTACAAAACTAAAGAAAAGCATTTTCTTGATCTCCGTTTCCTCTGTCCTTCCATGTATCCCTCCTCTCTTGCTTTCTTTTGTTTCCTTCATTTTCTTTCTATCTCTTCATTGTTTCCTTCTGGGTATACTATCCACTTTCTTTATCTCTTATTTGTATCCATTCTCTCCTTCCTTGTTTCTTTCCCTCCAGTTTGAGATTGCACCTCATTTAACCCTATGCAGGTGTATTCCATAAATCCATGGGGATATTTTTCATTTAAATATTAAAAATACTGCAAAGGAGAAAGAGGCCAGAAAAAGAATGAACCCTGATAAGTATTTACCCCAAATATGTTCTATTTTAGGGGATGTAGTATAATGTGCATTTTGCGTCCAACTAAAATAATCAGTTTTGGTCTTATCACAGAAGCTAGCTGCCTAAATATTTGGATGTAGCTTTTGGTGAAATAACAAACGGAGATTCCATTTTTTTTTTTTTCCCACTGTCTTTGTCACTTCCCTTCAAAGACTGGATTTGCAATTTACAACTAATAAAGTTCCTGAAAGATTTCAAAAATCATTATGTTCTCATATTTTCTTGTATTTTCTCATCATAGCGGGCCTGTATTTAGGATTGTTACAACTATTAATGCTGTACCCGATTTTATTTAATTCAGTTTATTTATTTTAGAACAATTCACAACACATTGCATCCCAAGGCACTTGATAGAGAGAATGCAATCAAATCATATTGATTGGTTACAAGTTTTCAATCTAAGCAAACCCAGCTGATTGTATCCAGTCATTGATTTTGGAAGATTCACGCCTTCTGTATTAGCATGTAGTGACAGTAGACATTTGCTTGCATTGTGCTACAGCAATACCTCACACCAATCATGCATGTTGCAATAGTGAAGAGTTAAAACTCCCTTTTCAAAGGAAGAAAACTCCAGCAGAGCCTGGCTGAGTGTGAGTGGCCTTCTGGGGTTCAAGAAGGCATAAGCAGATAAATGAACATAGAAGCAGAATACTTTCCATGTTGGAGAATTGTAAACTAGCTCCAAAGGTGGGTCTGTTTAGGAATGAAACAGCTGAGCAGCTAAGGCCACATCCACTTGGTAAAAAATAAAAGGTTACCCCATAGTTTCTGGTGAAGATTCTCAGTCATCCAGGTCATGGTCACAACCAATACCTGTCTATGTCTCTGAAAGGGGAGTTGTTAGAGGGAATTGTTGACCTGGCTTAACAGGCGAGATGTTCTGCTCCCCTATAGACAGGCATTGGGTATTACAGGCTAACAAAGAACCCAAACGACTGCCCATTCCTAAGGGGCGGACCCGTTCATCCGGTTCAATTTGCATGTTTTCTAAGCCAAAACTAGGCTTTTGTCATGAAAGCGCAGACAGATGAACCCAGTATTCAAGGAGAGACAGTCAATAGGAAAGTTCAAAACGTTTATTAAATGAAAAAACAAAACAAAAGCGGAGCTGTGGCTCTCGGACACTGCAGGATGGGGAGCGGGGTAGGAGGGTTCAGAGTCTGACAGGGTCCGAAAGCGTGACCGGGTGGTCACGCACAGGAGCAGACAGGATCAGGTGCAGATGAGCAGGCACAGTGGAAAAGGGTAGCCGAGACAGGACGTGGAACCAGAACTTGATGCAGGACCTTTAAACTGGTCTCCACCTTGGAGCCAGGCTTACTTGGATAAAAACTGAACCTTCCCGCATATAGAGCCAAAAACCCAGAGGACTCAGCAGGGGAGGAACAGTGGACGATTAGGAGACGAGACAGACACAAAACCCTCTATCCACTGGTCGCCAGGATCCAGGACAGGAACCAAGAAACAAACTGAACAGACAGGGTAACAGAAAAACAGTTAATGATCTGGCACTGAATGCTCAGGCTGAACTGAACATAACCGACATTTTGAATTGAAAAAGCTTCCTGGATGAGAAGCGAAACATCTTAAAACTTGGACACAAAGTCCAGTGGATCGTTTTTTTTAACATTTTTGGAAAGGACCCCATTGTTATGTCTAGGAGAACAACAGTACCAAACACTTTTCAGAAACTAGAGGTTTATATGCCATAACCAGCAGAAGGCAGTGAGGACATTGTGACAAAGGAAAATAAAGGAGAGGACTGATAAATCACACCCAATTTTCAACATAAATGCCAGAATAGTTTTGTTTTTTGGCTGCTCAGCCTGTTTGCATTTACTCATGTTTTATTTAAGCCCAGCAAAGTAAAAGGAGCTGAGGAATTTCCCATTATTTTAGTAAATACGAATACCTATAAATCATTTTCCTTCCACTTCTCAATTATGTGCTACTTTGAGTTTATTGTTTGCAAGAATCCCAGAATGTTCTCAGCTTTCTGGTTTTAATATGAAAAAATGTTGAAAGGTTTAGGCAGAATAATGACTAAAGACCCTGCATGCCTGCATAGCACATCGTTAGATTTAACCTTCTTCTGTAACAGGATATTTCTTGGTCGCCAGTGAAAGTCCAAACGGCATAGATCATGTTTGGTGGTTTCAATAGGTGGAAGAGATGCGTCGCGATTTTGAGGAGAAGCTTCGGGTGTTCAGCCAGGCTCAGGCCCAGTTTGAGGCAGATAAACGGCGAGCACTGGACGAGCTGAGGGCCACCCACCGGCATGAGGTGGAGGAGCTCCGCAACAACCAGCAGAACCACACTGCGACCTCTGCCGAGGACCAGGAGAAACTGGCCGAGCTACATAGACAAGAGGTGGGCCACGAGTACGCGAAACAGGAAGATTAGGTCTGCTGTTCAAGATCCACATGGCTTAGTGCAAAGATCACACGGATGGTTAATCAGTTGAAACTGCAGTTTTGGAGGTTAAATTTAATTGGAACTGGAAAAAAAAAAAACTATTTATTTTTTTTTTTTATTTAATTCAAAAATGTTATAATCCAACCATAGACCGTTTTATGCATGTCATTTCACTTTTTTTCCTTTCACCTCGTTTGAACACACACTTAAAAAGTATTAGAAGGTAAAAAAAAAAAAAATCAGTAAATAAACCCCAAATCTTCAAAACTGATAGTTTAGTTGAAAAGAAACTCTTTGATTGAATTTGGTAGTGTTTAATTCCTGGCAAGCTGGAATAGAACAAACAAGATATTCTGTCTGTGTAGGTGGAGGCTTTGATGGACAGGTTAGAGGAGCTATCGAAGGATAAGGTCCGTCTGGTGGAGGAGTACGAGGCCAAGCTGGCCAAGGCTCAAGAGTACTATGAGAGAGAGCTTGAGGCCATGAGGAGGACGCACCAGCTGACCACCGAGAACCTGCTGGCCTGGAAGAGGACGGAGGTGAGAGCACAGCACAAGAAGACAAACAGATTACAGCTTTGGCCATTTCTAATGTGTCTCTTCTCCTGTTTAGGTGGAGCTGCGGAAGGAGTTCCAAGCTCAGGAGGCAGCGCTGCAGCGTTCGCTGTCCAAGCTGAGGAGCGAGCTTCAGAAAGCTCAGGAGGAGGCCCGGGAGAACCGGGACAAAACCAACAGACTGCAGACATCACTAGCCAACGCAGAGGGAACCATTAAGGTGTGTCAAAATGCTGCATATTAATGGCCTGGAAGTGGGGGTACTGGAGGTGCTGCAGCTACCATTAGTGGCAAGAGGGAGATAAAAACATATATATATTAGAAATACTTTGCACAATTTATAGATTTTTTATGAATATTTTGGGAAATAGATTTTTCTATTTTTGCTATTACGTACATATGGATTTTAATTTAATTATTTTGAGGAATTTTCGTTGTCATGGCAACGTCAAGCAACCTACTGCTCATTGAGTAAAAAGGTATCCCACTCGCAGCAGCAGACTAGTCAATTCACATACTCTTATGACATAAACTATGAGGAAATATGGCACAGAAATGCATTTCATATTTTTTTGTAGGAAAACTATTAGTGAAGAAGAACACTAGTACTCCAACCCTGACAGCGGAGAGCAACTGGAGTGAGGAGACTGTCTGCCTCTGATGGCAGTGAAGTTTAATAAGAGTGCTTATATGCACCTGAGACCTCTATTGTCATATACACTGAAGTTTATATGACAGTAAAGTAGTGAATCTTAATCTATTTATATGTTTATTTATTTTATTTTAAATAGGTCTATAGGTTAATGGGTCTTTTGTCCAAAAAATAAAAAAATTCACTTTATCCCCTGTTCAAAATAACTTCCAGCGGCCCTGTGCATGTTTTTATTTTTAGGTTTTTAGCGTAAAAAACTGTATAGATACACCAAAAATAAAGAGAAATTGTTCAAAAATCTTTCTTTATCTGGTTAAAGCCTGGTGAAATTGGGTTAAATTGAATGAAAAAGTATTGCTGAAAACTAAAGCACAAGTAAAGGCCTTAGGGTAGAATCAGTTTAGGAGACTTTTAGATCAGGAGGAAAAGGTAATGTAGTGTGGTATGACAGAGCTGCAGGCTCATGTGCATGGTGCATATGCGTGTGGGGGAGGGGACTCAAACTGTGGCGTCATGAATGTGTGTTTTGCAGAACCTGCACAAGCAGCTGGAAGAAGCCATCCAGGATGGAGAAATCTGGGTGATGCAGCTGAAGGACACAGAGTATGAACTGGAGAGCAGCAGGGAACGAGTTCAGCAGCAGGCTACGGAGATCCTCCACAAAGCCAGTAAGATGTTGGAAATTAGAGGCTTTTTATTTTGTTTTGAATGCTGCATGAAAATAAGTTAGACTTATGAAGTTTAAGTTTTAACTTAAGGAAGGGTTAAATTTCCATAAGTCTAACCAAAAGTGCATTAAGAGTTTAAATAACTGATTAAAACTGAATGAATTTTGAGAGAATTAGCTTCATTTTTTATTAGCGTTAATTAAAATGCATTCATATAAGAGCTAGTTTCTATTTGCAGTTTTTTTCTTTTTTCCATTTTCTTTCTCTTGTTTTTTTTTTGGCTTTTTCCCCATCCCTAACCCATTATGCCAGCAGATGACAGGCCGTGTGTGCTGCTTAGGGTTGGGAATTGAAAAGATTTTCACGATTCCGATTCCCTTTTCGATTCTATGAAACGATTCGATTCTTAATCGATTCTTTTTTCGATTCCAATTTGGGGGAAAAAGGAGAACAAACAGTTTGATTATCAGAATCAACTTTGTTTACTTAACTATTGCACA